TTGCTTCCAGTCGTTGAAAAAGTTCTCTTCGAGATCGCAATACGCCAGGCAGAGCGTTCGCAGGCCTTCACCGGCGAATTTCTGAAACAAGTGCCCTTTTCTCATAAAACCCACTATGACCGAGCACGAACTCACATTCAGGTGGTCTTGGGTCTTGGCTTTCACTTCGTCTTGCCCGAGTTTGAGCCGCTCGTAGATCACATTGTCGGCTCCCTTGCAGTAGAGAGTCAATTTGCCGTCCTTTCGCAGGATCACCGACATTCTTTTGCGGATGTTGTTGAAGTCCAAAATGCACAGTAGCTCATACACTTCCTTAGTTCCCATCACCTGAATCGTTGGTGAGAGTTTTAGCCACTGCGTGGAGTAGATTCTTGAAGGATCTTACCTCTATGGTGATACTGTTGGGCGTTCTCTCTTTGAAGACGAACCCGAAGTTGCGCGCTGCTGATACCAGGGCAGCTTCGTCTGGGGACTGTGCTTGATACTCCAATTTTCCATCCCGGTTCTAAAGCGGAATAACGTGTAATTACAGCTAAATGGGAATAGATGGGCGGCTCACTTCCGACATGACCGTGTGGCAAAGCGCCAACAATCGGAAGAGCAGAAAGGTGTCTTTTTCTCTTCTCCTCACTGAGTCCAACAGGTTCTTGTCGTAAAATCGGAACTCCGGCTCGTAATTGCTGTTGAAGGAGAAGTCCAACGGTTCAGTATCATCGGTAATTTCGATAACATCCCCTGATCTCGGGTCGATAACGTCTCCATAAGAAACTCCGCCTATCGAGCACTTGTTGAAAGTCATGATGTTTTGCGTCAATGTACCAGTTTTGTCGGAAAAAATATACTCTATTTGCCCTGGAAATTTGAGCAAGCGTTACAAGCAAGTAGGCCTTTAGAGGCTCAATAAGTACCTAATTCCTCATTGAGAGTGGTGGTCCGGGCTTTGGCAAAGGTGTTGAACTTGCCGTAGTACATCTGTTCGTCCCAGTTGATTAAGAAGCTTTGCACAAATCGGATCACCTCCACCGAGACGTACAATGAGATCGGCACCACCGTATTGAGCACAATGGCATAGGAGAAGAACACCAGGAGAGCTGAAAAGGCTTATCGATGAAGCACCGCTATGGCGCAAAAAGACGACGTTTCACCTATAATCGTGGCCCCTCCCAGTGGTTCCGAAGGAACCAATGTATCCCATGGCAGGAACGTTTGAAAGTATCGACCCACAAGAGTCTCCCATATACCGCAGGCCACCATGCAAAAAAGGCACATCGATAATAGAAAAAATACTATCTGCAACAACAAATCCGTATATGTAGTCATGTGGTGGTGTTTTACCCACGCACAACACCCACCCCTATAATTAAGAAGTTCAAGAGCCGATCTATGCTTGTTCTCTTAAATTTGCTCTTGCCACTGTTCTGCATCAGTTTCGTGTCTTTGCCAGCAAAGATTACCACTCCGTAACACCAAGCAGTGTTTCTTAAAACACATCCTCTTAAAATTATCTGGAAGGAACCAAACTGCACGGTTAAACAAGGCTTATTTATGAGAATGATTTCGCTAGGTACCTTATCGTTGTCTAGAGAATATGTCCTGCCTTTCCACACCAAAATTCCCTCGAATTTATTCAGAAGATTATTGGGCTGTTCGCATACGATTTCCCCGTCGAACTCGCTGATGAGCCCATCGTCTTGGCCCATTTCCGCAGTTTCCACAAGGCATTGCCGACATTTCAGGTTGGTTTCCCTAAAATGCAGATGCTTGATTGTCGCTTTGCAACGTTTCGCCAACCACCTACCCATCAAGCTCGGATGTTTCGATATAACAGAGCCCGTTCGGCTCGCTGGACGTTAAAAGTAGCAAATCAGCAGCCACAAAAGTGTTGTTGTCCATCCGGATAATATCTCCCACTTGGACCGCGGACCATTTTTCTTGGACGAGTTTCCCATCGCGAACAACGCGCGATTTTCGATTGTTCACATGCGAGTCCGAGACATGGCGTTGCTGAAACCCACATGAAATATATGCCTAGACTTGGGGAATTGCATTTGTTGTACGTACAATATCATCATAAGCATCTTTGATGGCGGTTAGTCCGAGGACTCCAATCAGCGGCAGGGCAGTCGTGACCGGAGTCAAACTGCTGATGGCCGGGATCAGTTGCAACACCAAAAGGCACAAGAAGTAGAAGTTGGCAAGCCTTTGAAACTGCTCGAACAGATTCAGAGGCAAAAAGGTCAGGATAGAGTATTTTGAAGTCTTGATGAAATTGCTCTGGAAAACATTGTTCACTGATTACCACAGACCATCTAGATTGCCGGACAGTTAAATGTAATTCAAAAGTATTTATTACACAGTTTGGTTTTCGCAACACACGCGACCATACAAGACCTCCAATAATGTTCGTATACTCACTGCGTATTTAAATTGGGAGTTAAATAGTCTATCATTGGCATGGATTCTTCTTTGATTATCTGGAATTAAACATTTATATTAGTTGTGAATGTTAGCTTCGTGTGTGGGCAAAATAATAAACGATCATCGAATTCGATTATTTAATGTGAATCCTAAGCAAATACACATGTTTGCTCAGTTGGCTGTTGATCATATATGTAATTATCAATTTACACTGTGTACAAATTT